GCAAGGTTGTACAAATTTATTTTGTGAATCTGCTGGGGATGCTGAGGAATGAGGGACTGGGTCGCTGCATTTTATCTTTAAAGATGAAACAATTGGCAGAAAATAGGGCATGCAGTGTTCATGCGGTCTCTGTGGCCTTCATATTTCCCTTTTCCTGTGAGATTGCTGTGTAAAAGTGGGGCCCAGGCACGATTCCTATAAATATGTTGCTACACTTAATTTTTTGCAAGTTTTCCTTTGTTAATTTTATTTTTTTATTTTTATTTATTTATTTTTTTTTTTAAAGAAATTGGAAGAGTTAGAAAAGGAAGAAGAGCTAAGAACAGCTGCTGGGGAGTATGACAGTGACTCTGAAAGTGAAGATGAGGAAATGGTGGAAATCCGACAGCTGGCAAAACAAATTAGAGAGAAAAAGAAGTTGAAAATTCTACAGTCCAAAGAAAAGAATACACAGGGACCCAGGATGCCCCGAACTGCTAAGAAGGTGAGTCTTGGTTTTGTTTTGTTCATTTTATCTAGCAACCACAGTTCCCCCTCCCTCCTGTCCTACTACCCCATCTCCTCAGAAACAGCCTGGGGAGTCAACTGCCTGGCACATCAAGTTGAGGCAGGACTATGCCCCTCCTCCCTGCAACAAAGCTTAGCCAGGTATCCCACCATAGAGAATGGGCTCCAAAAAGCTAGTTCATGCACTGCCAGGATTCCCACCAGCCACACAGCTGCCACCCACATGCAGGGGACCTCGTTTGGTCCCATGCAGATTTCCCAGCTGTCGATCCAGAGTCTAGGAGCCCCCACTAGTTCGAATTGGCTGTCTCTGGAAGTTTCTCTGTCGTTGTCTTGATCCCATTGTTCATATTATCCCTCCTCCCTCTCTTTGACTACCTACTCCTGCCGCTCGGCCGCAGTACTTGGCTGTGGATCTCTACATCTGCTTCCATCACTAGAAGGGCAGTTTTGAGCATTGCAAAGGCAGGACTGAGCTTTCAGGCTGGATCCTGTGTAAACCACCACTAGAGACAGGCTTCCACCATTTGGGGATGTCGGGTGGCATACTTTGAGGACTGAGGTATACTGACTTAAAATATTCTTTGCTTTGAACTGTGATATTCTGACTGTTGCATCTTTTCTCCATGGACTGCAACTCCAGGTTAATTGTTGTTACAAACTGAATCGTTGCTGCAGTTATGCAAGTTAAAACTAAACTTGTTGAAGTTTGAGGATATTAGTTATCCATTACCCCCCATCACCTCTCACCCCAGGGTTTCTTTGTATAGTCCTAGTTGTCCTGGAACTTCATTTGTAGACCAGGGTAGCTTTGAACTCACAGAGATCTACCTGCCTCTGACACCCAAGTGCTGGGATTAAAGGCGTGCGCCACCACTCCCAGCTTAATTTCTAAGTAGGGTTTCATGTTGTCCAGGCTTACCTTGAACTTGCTATATGTAGCCAAGGAACTCCTGATTCCTTGTCCATAAGTGCCAGGATTATAACTGTGCGCCACCTTGCCCGGTGCCGACATTTTTTTATATTATTTAATTTCTCTATTGATTAAGATTCCTAAATCCACAAAGCAGTTCACCAGTCCCTGATACTGGTGAGGATAGGGAGAGCTACTCTGTAGGTGTGAGTGGATCAGAAGATGTCAAAATTCTTTCCGCGTCTTGGCTTCCTATTGGAACGTCATTGTCTCCTACTTCTGTTTTTGTTTGGATGAAAGACCCACATTACATGACAGCCCCTGTGACTGTAGCCTTCCTGAAAGTTTGAGTAAGGGAATGAGCGGCAGGTTCCCAAAGGAGAAAAGGTTCTGGGAAGTTAAAATGTAACGAGGAGGGGGCAGAATGGAATTTGGCACTGTAGATGCCACAGTGGACGTTGCTGATTTTAAAACCCTTTTCATGTGGTTGAGTCACTGTTGATACTGCAGGCAGACATATTTGTTTGGTTGTCTCTGAGAAGAGATCTGATTCTCTGAGTCCATCTTACCTCAACTTCAGTACCTTCTCTATCCTGTACAGCCAGGCATTTTACCAGTAACAGGTTATCATCCCCTCACTTTAGGTTCAGCGAGCAGACTTGGAGAACGAGATGCGAAGTCTTGGTGTTGACATGGATGATAAAGACAATGTAAGTCCGTGGAGGGGCAGCGTGGTTTTAGATATGATTTGTGCTTTTGTTGTTTTGAGACATTGTCTTGCTATGTAGCTCAACCTAGCTTCAAATTCAGTATTTCCCTGCCTCTAGTTCTCCAGGGCTGGTAGTCAAGCATGTGCTACCACACCCTGCATACAGTCACGGGCTGCTTAATGATGTGGATGTGTTCTGAGAAGTCTGTCACTAGGTGATTTTTATTAGGTGAATATCATAGCATGCACATAATGTACGTGGACTTAGCTGGTGAATATGCCTACTACCTAGACTATTGGGGTGAGGGGAGGGAGGGAGTTAGAAACCTTGACGTACACTTTGTAAATTGTGGAACCAAAGCAGTGGCATTACCTTACATGATTGACATTAACACACATTGAATCCCCTGCTCATCCTCAGGTGGAAGGTGCAAGAGCCAAGGCTCAGAAGCAGCATCTGATTTACCAAGAGCATGGGTCCCCAGGAGGGACAATAGCAGTGTGGCATTGCCTTTGGCCCTTACCCCTTAGCTTTAAACCAGACCCTGTGCTAGTACATCCCTCAATAAACATTCCACATTCTTTCCCTAGTGTGATAATGGTTCTTAAAACCTTAACCATCTTCTCTTCTTGTTGGAGTAATTTTGGTTGTTACCGAGTTTGCTGTTTGTGTGTTTCAGGCCCACTATGCAGTCCAGGCAAGAAGATCTCGGAGTGTCACTCGGAAAAGAAAACGGGAAGAGTCTGTTCCACCTTCTTCTGTAGCCCGGAGTCGGAGTTGTTCTCGAACTCCACGTGACGTTTCTGGTCTTCGGGATGTCAAGGTTAGTTTCTTTGATGTGGCACAGAAGAAGGTGAGAGCCTACAGGTATTTATTGTACAAAGCCTGTAGCAAACACTGGCAGTTGTTTGAAGGAACAGGGTTGTGGCTTAGATCTTAGCTGTTCTTTCCATCCTCCTGGTTGCTGGTTCCTTTGGAGAGGGACTTAGGCCAGGGAGCCCTTGGATCCTGGCCATCCATTCTGGAATCCTTACTCTGGAGAATGGACAGAAACAGGATAAAGAATGAACAGTCTGGGGCTGGAGAGATGGCTCAGTGGTTAAGAGCATTGCCTGCTCTTCCAAAGGTCCTGAGTTCAAATCCCAGCCAACCACATGGTGGCTCACAACCATCTGTAATGAGGTCTGGTGCCCTCTTCTGGCCTGCAGACAGAATATTGTATACATAATAGATAGATAGATAGATAGATAGATAGATAGATAGATAGATAGATAGATAGATAGATATTTAAAAAAAAAAAAGAAGAATGAACAGTCTGAGCTTAGGTCCCAGCTGTTTGGAAAACACTAGGATGTGGCCCCTGAGGAAGAGTCCCCCATTTCCCCTGTGAGGAAGTGGTCCTGGGGAAACTTGGTTCCTCAACCGGTGATCCTGTGTGTCTTTACAATACTAGAATATTTCCCCTCAAGGTGGCAGCCTGGGTCAATATGATATTGGTGTTTAAGATTTTACTGAAATTTCTTTTTGAGGAAAAACAGTTTTATTTCAAATTTTAGTATTTTGCAAATTCACATATAAGAGAAAACCTATTAAATTGGCAGACTGTCTGCTTAATGAAAGGCTAAATTTTTGTCACATGTCATCTCCATCTGGAAGTCTAGAAGGTGAATGTTGAGTTGAGACAGTGTTTTGCTGTGTTTCCCATGTTGCGTGGGGGCTTGCTATGGAGACCAGACTCACAGTTCTCCTTTCCCAGCTCCCATCTTCAGCAGCAATTACAAGTGTGCACTACTCAACCATGGGTTTAATGCTGGCATTGACAGAAGTCAGATGTGACAGGGTGTATTCTCCTGAGTTTCAGTGTTACTCTGAAAGTTTGAGCAGATACTCTAGTCTTCTAGATCTAACAGGCCCCGGTGTATTCAGATAGTGAGTTTCTGGAAATAGTATGGTGACTGAGACTCAACAGGGTCTTTATAGTTTGTGTCTGTTCCCTTAGAACATTTCTCAGGTAATTGCAGTGCAGGATAGAAATGTGGTTTTCATTAATGTGTATTCTCCTGTGTAGATGGTGAAGAAAGCCAAGACTATGATGAAGAATGCCCAGAAGAAGATGAATCGCTTGGGGAAGAAAGGGGAAGCAGATAGGCATGTGTTTGATATGAAGCCCAAGCACTTACTCTCTGGGAAGAGGAAAGCTGGCAAAAAGGACAGGAGATAGTGTCCTCTGCAGTTGGTGTGCTTTGGCTGGACTCTTGTTTATTTCTGGGTATGGTAAGGTGTGCCTTATAAAATCTGGAATCACCATCTGTTAACTGAAAGAAACTATGAAAAAGACTTACAAGTGCTTGTTGCTTTGCTGGGAACTGGTAAACCTGATTAGGTGTGCAGTGTATTGGTCACTGCATAATTCAGGTGTCTAAGTATGGAGCATCTACAGGACTAATTTTACAGGAAAGGTTTATGGTAGCTGGGCAGTAATGGTACGCACACACCTTTAATCTCAGCACTCAAGAGGCAGAGGCAGGTGGATCTCTGAGTTCAAGGCCAGCCTGTGCTGCTTAGTGAGTTCAAGGCCAGCAAGCTCTACACGTAGAAACCCTTTCTCAAAACAAACAAATAAAAAGGTAAAGATTTATTGGTATAAGTAGGCTGCTTTTGGTGGAGAACAAACTTTGTTTTGTAGTGGAACTTTTGTTAGTATTCAGGTATCTCTATTGCTCTGCTTTTGGGGTCCTGACAGTTTGTGTTCTCAGCTACAGCCACTAAGAGCACCTCCTGTGCACATTCGCTGTGTTCCCTTTTCAGAGGTGGGTCTTGTCCACTTCTCAACTCTTTCTCTTTCCCCAACCCCTCTTTTTCTCCTCCACCACTCTTGTTCCCAGGTACCAGTCTCTGCTCCCCTTTCTGTCCTCCTCTCTGCTCCCTTTTTGTCCCCTTTTCTGCCCCTTCTCTTTCCTCTAACAAAAAAACTCCCATGTGAACCCAGTTGTGTGGTGTGACTCCTTCCCACCATTTTTTAAATTTTAACGACTTTGCTTTGTTATCCAGAGTGCCTATTGTTTTGTGAAGAAAGCATCTCCACTGGAAGGTGTAGGCAGAAGGCTACTAGCCTTTCTGAGGAAGCACATTTAGGAGTGTGTGAGAACTGAAATTACTCTCTTAAATTATTTTCTAGACATTCAGCTCAATGTATGATTGTAACTTCCACCATTTTATTAAATAAACTTCCAGAAAAAAAAATTAGTTTTGATTACCTAAGTATTGTTTGGTTTAATTAAAGTTGCTATGATGGCCAAAGAAAAAAGACAAAGAAGACTTTGCTTCTTTGTTCTTAGATCAAAAATACTTTTTCAGGGAAACAAATGCCTCGGTTTTTGCAGCAGTTAAATGACATCTTTCATGAACCATTGCTGGATTAAGGAACAGTTCCACTTAAAAGAAAGAAGGGAAACTTAGGAGTGAGCTTAAACAGAAGATTAGTGCCCTGAAAGGTACTAAAACATTAATGAGAAGAATCATAGTGTAGCTGGTACTACACCCCCTGTTCAGACAACAGAAGACAGTCTTCAAGATGCCTGCTTCCTGTCAGAGCCACAGCTTCCATTCAGACCTTTATCAGAACCCAGTGACATGTGGCATGAATAATAAAAACCCAGAGACAGATATTGGGGTTCAACCTGAAGATCAGGAAAGCAAAGTACCCAGCCACTGGCTCTTACCTCTACTTCTGACCGAAATGGCTATCCTGCCTTCACAAATCCTCAGAATGAGACTGAGCTGGGATTAAAATCATGTACCACCACTGCCTGGTCTTTAGTAAAATATGAATGAAATATCACTACAAAGGAACATAGCTTACATGGTCTTGGCAGTCACAGCTATCTTGTGTTTTGCATGTTAGGATGGAATGTGTGAGGTAAGTGCTGTCCACACTTCAGGGAAGAAGCTGTTTAGGGAGAATAAAGATTTGCCATCAACCTCAGGATGTCAGAGGCGATGGGCTAGATTCTGGGAATTCCAGCTGGAAAAAGCTGCTGAGGCTAAACTTTGCAACTGGACAGGGACATGTCAGAGAACATGCTAATGTCAGAATCCCTCTACTCCAGCTGAGGCAGTTTTGTTCAGCTCTGAATTCATTGTGGGAATGACGACCCCAACTTAATGAAGAATTAGGATACTTCCACTTGATGTTTTTAATTTTCAAGAAAATTAATTGCCTAAACTGGGCATAATGGCACACATCTTTAATCCCAGCAGGGAGGCAGGGGTGCAGAGATCTCTGGGAGGCTAGCCTGGTCTACATAGTGAGTTCTAGGACAGCCAAGGGTACATAGTGAGACTATTTTAGAAAAAAAAAAAAGATTAATATAACTACAGATAGCAAAGGGTTTGAGAAGCAATGGAATAGAAGTTCATTATGCAAATAATGAAATCAGGTAGATTTTTCCAAATTTCCAGATGACTTAATCTTTTAATATAATTTGCATAATAAAGATTATGAGTTTTAGTCATTATTAATAAGTATATCCATAATAACATTTACCACATAAATTTACTCCTTGATCTATACTAAGGGAATTAAACTTTGATTTTCATCATTATTTTATATGCACAAGACAGGCATTTTGTGCTGGGGTTCAGCAATGACTGAGGTAAAACTACAGCAGGAAGTAACTAACTGATCGTGCTCATCAGCTCCACAGATAGTCCCTGTAAAATTTGTAGACCCAATGAAAACTAACAAAGTTCTTTGTTTTCCATATTAACCCTCATACACCATATGCTTGTAATCACGAGGCTCAGTGGTTGCCTGTAGAGCCCTAGACATGGTGAGAAGTGAGCAGAGCTCCAGAAGGAGAAATGTGATGCCACCGGGAAAGTGACAATTTCCATACATGGCAGGTGACAATTTTTAAGAGATGGAGAGAAAGCTGGGCAGTGGTGGCCCACGCCTTTAATCCCAGCACTCAGGAGGCAGGTGGATCTCTTGAGTTCGAGGCCAGCCTGGTCTACAAGAGCTAGTTCCAGGACAGCTAGGATTGTTACACAGGAAAACTGTCTCGGGAGAAAATAAGAAAAAAAAGATGGAGGGAAAAAAAGGAAGCAAAACTAAGTGCTTGAATTTTATTTTAATACAAACAATGGGAGGATATTAGAGCTCAGTTTCTGTAATACATGCCATTCTAACCACGGATTAGTTATGAGCCCTACTTTTTGTTTTAGATGTTTTAAGTTTCTAAGTGTATGAGTTATTTGCTTCTGTCTGTATATACAGCATATTGTGCATCCCAGGTACCTACAGATGTTGTAAGCGTGTGTACAGGACATGAGGCTAAACAGGTCTGTGTGTTGGGACATACAGGAGTGGGAAAGATTTCTTTTGAGAATGGAAATGAGAAACACTTGAGCTTCAGTACAGTGATTTGTTTCACAGCCTGTCCTGTGGGCCAGACTTGAGGCATTTCCACAGGCAGAAACCATGTTAGCCTGGCAGCCACCCCTGAGTCATAGCATCTTGATGGATGGAATTAATAGCGGTCATGTGACACTATAACTGTTAAACAGACCCTTGAACACATGACAAACTTCACTAGAACAGGAGTCTGTAAAATGTCCTGGGGAAAATGTACAGCATGCTACTATATTGAATGTGTCCTTTTAGTCAATAAAAAAGCACTTTTCCTCCTGGCCATAGTATATAAAGTAGCTTCAATTCTGACTTATAAGTATCAGTTCTATTAGACAAATACTAGAATATAAAATTCCACAACTCAATTCCAGTTGCAAAATGCTTGTAATTTAATGTCCCCGTATCTTCAGTCGGAGTGGGGCTTATGGGGGAGGTGCTCTGATAGTTTTGTCCACTGCCGTTCCTCTCAGTTTCCCATAGCTTAAGTTAGAATCCAGTGCTCCCCGGACTTCAACTGCGCAGCTCACCGGGAAACGTGTACTTGGCATCTGCTCTGTGCTGGACCAAGAGCTGGTTTTTTTCTGTTGAAGAGGATGACGCTGAAGCCTCAGTGTAACAGGCCTGTAAAGTGTGTGAGCTTGAGTTAGGATCACATGGAAGTCAACACTGAGTCCACGTGAGCATTCTCGTCCAGCTCAGGATGGTGGCACCAAGAGTAGCTGGTGCTCCTTGCTGGGATATAGTCTATTCAGTTGCTTAGCATTTGGTGATATTCAGTATTCATTTACCCACCGTAATACTGTGAGTACTATAGTTTTCTTCCACTTGGAAACATAAAAACTGAAGAGCCAAGAAGTAAATACGCCTTGCTAGATAGCCCAATTCTAAGTCTTAGACCCTGCTGTGTGATTCTAAACCTATGGTCTCAAAATAACTGTAGTTACTTTTGCCACCCTGTGCAGAAATATGGATGACTCAGTAGCACAGAGTGACTGCTTATGCCCTGGAAGTTATGATACATGAGGCACTCCCTGAGAGTGCTCCCAATGACATGCTTCCCCCACCCCTTCTTCCTGGAGACTAGGTATCAATATAGACCTGACAGGCCTGGAGCTGTCTCGAATTTAGAGATACATTTGACTCTACCTGGCATTAAAGTTGTACACAACCACACCTATCTTGGTTGCAATTCCTGACTCTCCCAGGCCACTTCAAGGCAGCAATCACAGTCTATATTACTCAACCCATGAGGTAAGTGTTTTTATCAAGTCAGCAGCAGCAGTGGTACACTTTGGACACTTTCCTCCCCCACACTGCCTTGTTCAGAGAGTGTCTGATGGCACCAGGCCTGGATGCCCATGGCATCCTCTTCCCAGCTCACCCTTCTCAATGTTTTCCATTAGGTGACAGTTCCTCTTGGTTTCGGCTCCAATAATCTGATCCTGCTTGTCAATGACAATGCACATCTCCTCCAGATGTTTTATCTGGAGTTCATCAAGGTGAGTTTTGCTTGCCTGGGGCATATCTGTGAACACAAATGTACTCTGTTTTCTATTAATAGAAAACAAGGGAAAAGAGGCAGGTAAGCTTGTAGGCGGAGACCACTTGTTAGTTTCCTGGCTGCCCAGACCTGACATAATCACACATAAAGTGTATTAACTAAAGCACTACTTGGCCAATCACTTAAACGTATTCTATCTTAACTAGCTCTCATATCTTAAATTAACCCACTTTTATTTTATATTTTATCATGAAGCTCATGGTTTACCAGTAAAGTTTTCGGACATCTGCCTCCTTTGGTGGTTACATGGCTTCTCTCTGACTCTGCCTACTCTATCTGCTTGGAATTCCCACCCTGCCCTATTCTGCACTGCAATAGGCCTAAAGCAGCTTTATTAACCAATGGTGTTCACAGCATACAGAGGGGAATCCCACATCACCTCCCCTTTTCTGTCTAAATAAAAGGAAGGTTTTAACTTTAACATAGCAGATTACACACAACAAAACAGCAAGCAAGAATTATAGTTATAATATTTATATTTATTTTATCTTTTATCACAACTAAGGAAAACTATTTTTCAACTCCATTAAAGACTTCAGAGGGATAATATTGGCTAAGTTATCAGAAAGTACATTGTAAGAAACTTCCAAAACTCTAGACTTGACAGAGATATCTCGCTGCCTGGACAGTCACCCAAAGTTCTGTAACATTTGAGCATCCATCTTCAGCCTACAGGCCCATAGTATCCAGCAGACTTTTCCATGAAGCAGGAAATTTCAAAGACAGTTCCTCCTATATTAGCAGTTTGTTACTCACTTTCATCTGTGTCCTGCAGAATGTCTGGCAAATTGACAAGGGCGGACTTGTGATGACTATTCTTGTAGTCAACTTGATTATATCTAATCCAGATCTTAGAGTTAGAAAAACACGCCTTTAATCAGATCTTTTCAGCTGGGAAGACATAACCTTTAATCCAGATTATTTGAGCTGCAAATGAAACACCTTCAATCCAGATTTTGAGGTAGTGAGACACACCTTTAATGCAGATATTTAATCTAGATAAAATCTGTGCCACACCTTCTGCTGGAAGCCTCTGTAAGGACCTGAAAGAAGGAAACGTTTGTTCTTTGCCTGCTCTTACCAAGCTAGCGAGTCCATTCCTTCACTGGCATTAGAGTCTACTTCTTTAGGATTCCAGCATATATTAGAGACCAGGTGAGACATCCAGTCTTGTGGACTGGGAAAGTACTAGATTCTTGGACCTTCTGTTCACAGGCCCCCATTGTTGGATTATGTGAACCACAGCTTGGATGGATGGATGGATGGATGGATGGATGGATGGATGGATGGATGGATGGATGGATACAGAGATAGATACAGAGGTAGCTACATGGATAAACACAAACACACAGAGAGGTTCATTCCATAAGCTCTGTTACTTTAGAGAACCCCACTACATACATTTTCTCAAGCTGGCCTTGAATGAGACTCCTCCTGTCCCCAGACAGACCACTATGTTTCTAAGAGAAAGAAGTCCTCCTCGCACAGCGCATCTCCTCGGCTTGGTCCTGACATCACCACTTGTAACGATACAGCAGATCAATTTTTGTGCTGAATAAATGACCCAATCCAAGGCATTTTGCTGGAGAACAAGGGGGCATTGCTGCATCCCCCGTGCCCTTAACAAGAGCACTCTTAGTTATAGGTTTCTGGGCTGACAAGCTTCTCTTGATATCAACCAGTATCTGAGCTCTAGGATTTTTGGTGGGACAAATAAGGGTTCTCAGAAGGAAGTTCTGAGGAAACTGCTTCCTCTCAGGTCCCAGGTGTATGTATGCAGGAGAGACCTGGGAAAGCATCTCAGTGTCAGTTAGAGGCTACAGTCCTTTTAAACCAGGAGAAGACGTTTAAAGCCAGAGGGTTTGAACATCTTCGGTACTGAGATGGTAAGGACTATAAAAACAAATGCAGTTTCATTTTAGGGCCTAAGTCCTAAGGGTGGTGATACATTATAGACTCAGTTTCTAGCCAGCAAATGCCTGTGTCCATAACCCAGAGAGGCACAAAGTTTCCCGGGTCCAAGCTATCAGTGTTCAATCAGTTATTATTATTAAGTGGAAAATATCTTTGGTAGGCCTTGAATATGACATGATCTGCACTGAGAAGCCAGAAAACCCTTGGATGTGTGGCTTGGATGAAGAAATGGAACCTTAGGTGACCCAAGGATTGTCAATGCAATGAAAGCAGTTACCTCATGCCCTGCCTCCAGTGCCACCAGCTGAGCCCACCACCATGCTGTGCCCCGGTCCTCTGAAAATCTGAGCCAAAATAACTTCTGCCTATCTTGAGTCTTGGCATCAATTTGGGAGAAACCATGAGCAAAGAATTCAAATACTGCAATGGGTTTTGTCTAGCTGTGATTGGTCCATGCTCCCTGCCCTTACAAGGAGCCATTGTGAGGAATGAGAGTGGCCCACCCATAGAAGGCACCAGCCGGGCCTGGATTTTGTCCTTACATTGCAGTGAAGCTCTTAGTTGACTGCAGAGAACTTGACTCAAGACTTTGGTCCTGAGTGCTTTTTGTGTTGTCTGTCTTTGGAACTGAACACCCATGATCACCACTGAACCTTGTGAGTGTGCTTACCTGTGGATCGGGTTTGTGCCTAAACTTTGACTTACTGTTTGCTTTAGATTTAGTTTGTCCATGTGCTTCAGTTTATTTTTTATCACCAACCACTTTCTATTATTCTCTATTCATTTAGTTTTGGCACATTGTACATTGGCTTAGTTCTTTACCTTAGCTTTTGCTAGTATAGATTATGTGTAAAAGATAAGGAATTTGATTTTGCAATGTGCTTAGAGGGTACCCACCTGCTTGGTTACCCCCCCTTAAGTCTTTCCCTGGGGTTATAACTTCCCTTATCTTGTTAAGGGTCTTCTGTCCACCGTGCCACTCATTAGACAAAATATGCTCTGTGGAATTTTGAGGGACAACAATCTCCTCACAGTGTCACAGACAGGTTATCATTCTTTTGATGACCATAGATATGAGTTTGAGAAAAGGATAGAGAATAATGAGCGTAGAGATGAAGAGGCCTGCATTAAGTGAAGTCATTTGAGAACTTGAGGGTCTGAAGAAAAAGGGCCTTGAAGAAGCCTGTGTGTTCACTCTCTATCTAGTTCATAGCCATTCCTCTAACCCAGGCTATCCCAAAGCTGACTGAGATTACTCTTGTAACTGCTGCTCTTATCAAAGTCCAAATGTCCTCCTCAAGGTTTGGATGTGAGAGGTTTCTGAATTCTTGGTCTCTGGGAGAGGGTGCTGTTCAGGGAATTGTAAAACCCCATGGTGGTAGAACCTAGCAGGAGGAGGAATTGGGACTTAAAAGCAACAGGACATGCCAAAGCCATGTAAACAGCTGCTCCAGATCCATTTTCCCAAGTCCCCAGACATGGCTTCCCTGTCCTCTGAGAGCCCGAGCCAAAGTAAGACCTATGTATCCCATGTTGCTTCTTCTCAGGGAATTGGTCGTGGCAGAAAACTAATGTAGTCCTTGGAGACAGAAGGTGAAGAATTTAGATTTTTTTTTTTTTTTTTTGTGAACAGCTGTGATTGGCTCATTTCTTTCTATGACCTCACTGGAGCTATTTTTTTATTTTATTTATTTTATTTTTATTTTTTATTATTTATTAAAGATTTCTGTCTCTTCCCCATCGCCGCCTCCCCTTTCCCTCCCCCTCCCCCAGTCAAGTCTCCCTCCCTCGTCAGCCCAAAGAGCAATCAGGGTTCCCTGCCCTGTGGGAAGTCCAAGGACCACCCACCTCCATCCAGGTCTAGTAAGGTGAGCATCCAAACTGCCTAGGCTCCCACAAAGCCAATAGGTGCAGTAGGATCAAAAACCCATTGCCATTGTTCTTGAGGTCTCAGTAATCCTCCTTGTCCGCTATGTTCAGCGAGACCGGTTTTAACCCAGGCTTTTTCAGACCCAGGCCAGCTGGCCTTGGTGAGTTCCCAATAGAACATCCCCATTGTCTCACTCACTGGAGCTATTGTGAGGAGTTGAAGACTTTGCCCACATGAGACTTAGGCTAGGGCTGGGCCATCTCACTCTGGAGAGAAGCTATAGCTTGGTTGGTTGCAGAGTTGTTGGACTCAGACATTGGTTAACGTGAACTTTAATATTACTGATCTCCTAAAACTGCTATAGAGATTTGCATTGGTATGGATCTTGGTTTATTAAAGCAAATTTAAGGTCAGTCTTGTTATATGTATATTTCTGCTCTTAATTAAGGTATTGTCATTATATAGCTCATTTAAAAATGTAATGTATAATTAAGAAATATAAGTTAATGATCATCTATAAGAGTCATGTTAGTTAGGTTTTCTAGATATATAGATCTATATTTCAGCTAGTTAGGTATTCTTCAAATCTTTCAGAGATCTTCAGAATATGGCATTTTAATGTTTTAAGAATTTAGGACCTTTCATGACAGTGAGACACATCTGCTCTTGGCAGCACAAGTTACTTCAAGAGGATGATGGGCATTGAAGAGGCTCTTAGGGAGTTGGTTAGCCATTTGAGCAAGGAACTGCTCTTGCCTGGACTGATTCACTGTACATGCAGGACCCACAGAGAAATGACTGCTGAACTTGCCTAAAGGTGAGACGATCCTTTGGGGTTCCTGCTTCATGAAAGAGTCTGCGAGATATTCTGCAGGATACAGAAGAAAGTGACTGCCAAACTGTCAGTATAGGCAGAATGGTTTTGAAATTTCCTGCTTCATGGAAAAGTCTGCCGGATACTACGGGCTTGTAGGCTGAAAATGGATGCCCCTACAGTACAGAAGAACTTTTGGTAACTGTCCAGGCAGCAAGATGTCTCTGTCATTTCTAGAGTTTTTGAAGTTGCTTACAATGCACTTCCTGTTTACTTAGGTAATATTATATATATAATTCCTTATTTTAAAAGACGTTGGGGTTGCCCAGAAATTCACTGGGTCGGAATATTTATACACACATCCTAAGCAGCACAGCACGCTCCAACACTTGCCTTTACACAGTCCCAGGTTGCAGTCTAAGACCACTGTTCAGTGTGACAGCCACTAGATATATAAAGCTACTGAGACACTAACTATATGTAGTCAGTCCCCAATTCGTATAAAATAAAGTTAGAAGTTACTTTAAATACGTTTAAGGTACACAGCATTTATCATTTTAAGATAAAATATG